GTGTCTTCAGAAAATCGTTATTATTTTAACATTGAAATTAGGATCTATTCCCTTGCTAAGACAAGAAGTAATTTTTTTTTTTTTTCTGGATCGCATCTTGGCGAAGCCATCCCGAAGCCATGCAGAGAGCAACGCGGTCAAGTACGCCCGGTACCAAAAGTTCCTTTTCACGGTGTGGGCTCAAAGAAGGTAGAACCTTCCGGAATGAAGAAGGCACGGGAGACGGCGTGACTGTGGGAAGGGCGGGGGAGAGGTGGGTGTTCCTGGCTCAGGTGGGCCCAGGCCCCCCTGCCCTGAGCTTGGCATCTGGCATGTTCTGCCCAGAGCTTCAGTGGGCACAGAGGGGCTTCCTTCTCATGGTCTCCAGTGCCCCAGGAGTCCAGGGTGCCCTCCATGTGCCACAGGTGGCAGTTGAGGGAGACTCCTTTCCTCTGTGAAGCACCCAGGCCCCCCTCGAAAGGCAGGGGAACCTGACAGAGGAAGGAGGAGGGCCCGGGGCGAATCTGTGTGTAGCCTCTGGATTCCATCGACCTGGCCCGGTCAGAGCAGGAGGGTCAGGCTCACGCATGTGCTGTTGGTTTGGAGGTTCTTCTTCTGAATCCTCTCAGGTACCAGGAGTCGAAATCGACAGCAGGAAGGAAGGCCAACAAGTCCTGGGTCTGCCGTCGGAAGGCCTTCCAGGCTTTGCTCGAGGGTCCTAGCCCCTTCCCCGACCTCAGAAACCCCGTGCCGCGGCCTCGGCTGCCAACCCTGGGGAGACCGGGAAACGTGGCTTTCCCCGCTTAGAAAACCTTTGTGGGCGTCCTTCCCCCGGGGAACGGTTTTCAGCAGATCATTCATTGGGAAAATGGAATCTGAAATACAGGTGTTTCCACTGTGCAGCTGCGGGCCCTGTCACCCCAGTGCCTCTCGTCTGCTCATTCCCTCTGCAGGCACCAGGCGCCCTGCCGTGCCACACAGGACCTGGGGCTGGCTCTCAGGTTCGGGGCCAGCTCGGTGACATTGTGGGCCCTCCATTCAGTTACCAGAGCAGCCCTCGTAGGAACCCATCCACCTGACTTCCTGCTGGAAGCAGCCAATTAATGATTCTCTCTCATCATTGATGTTTCCACCTCTCCCTCCCTTTTGCTTCATCTCTAAATCAATTAAATATACATACACACATATATATTTTATTTATTTATTTATTTACTTACTTACTTACTTATTTTAAATCAGTAGAAACATATCCTCGAGTGAGGATAAAAAAGAAAAGACTAGGTCATGTGACCGTATGTAATTCTCATGAGAAGGGCTGACCACTTGTTTCCATTTAAAGAAAGATGAGCAAGAGTTGTCCGCTCCATGGAAATGGGCTGGGGACTCAGACTTCTGGGCAGATCCTGTGCCTCACGTGCATTGGTTAAGTTATTCCATAACCTCTGACCTCTGCTAAAACTTAGAGATAATAACACCTCCCTCAAGGGTTATTGGGAGGAATGAATATAGAGCACATTTTCAGTTATAAGGTTGGCACAGGCCGGGCGCTCAATAAATGGCAGCTATGAAATTTTACACCAGGTTTACGTCGAGTTGTTTCCATGCAGTTGATCCTCAGCATTACTCATTGGATCCCACCTTTCCAAAGTGCCGTGGAGGGGTGACAGCGAGTCTTTCTCTCCACGGGGCCTTGGTGGTCCGTTGCCTTGACGGCGGCTGATGTTGGCTGTGTTACAGAGAGTCAGGATGGTAAATTGGGAGGTAGGAAACCAGCCATCTTTGATCACTGCATGCCCTGGGATTTTCCCATTCTGGTGCCCCTTATTTTTTCTCTTACTACTTGTTCATTGTAGAAAGCAAAGCCCCTCTCTCTGGTGTTTCAGTCCTTCTCGGTCCCTAAAATCAGGCCCTTGCTTAAAACCCATGTCCTCTTCTCCTTGGGTGTCCTTGCAAAATTTGAATGGCACGGGGAAATTGGTCGCATGTAATGACCTTCTGCTCGACCGTCCTGCCTTTGGGCACAGACATTGATTTTCCTGATCTTGGCATGGGAAGGAAAGGGTCTGTCCCTCTCTGTCCCCCGCCCCCACCCCACGCCTGCAGTAGCACACACCCTCAGCGCACGGAGCAGGCCGCACAGGGGCTCCGAGGGCATGAGAAGGGACAGCTGCAGACTGTGGAGGAGGGTGCTCAGAGCAAGTGGCTGCCGCTTGGGACCGTGTGCGTTATAGAGTCAGCCTGAAAGATGCTCCATTTGAAATGCCCACCCACTATGAAATATCTGAGATTCTCATTTTGAAAGAATGTGTCCTTTCTTTTCTGGGAGTGGGAAGGAGATTTATGGAATCATACCAAGTTACCTAGCCCCAGAGATCCTGGTATGGGGGGCAGGGGGGGGCTCCCTTTGGGGGAATACACATAATTTGATGAGAGTGATGGGATGATTCCTTAAAAGTTTTATTTCTACAGCTATTTTTCAAGAAGTGAGCTAATTATTGACATAATTGTAATAAATAGACTTAAGCAGCAATTTGATTAGGACTTCTTATTCCTGTTGTATGTTTGCTCCTTCTTTTAACTACTCATTCCTAATATGTCCAAGCATGTTATTTATAAGAAGCTAAATCGCGCCAGGAAAGAGGAATGTGCCTCTCACGCATGTGAGGAGACGCTGAAATGCTGCTTTGTTCGTGGCTTCAGTGGAGAAGAGCAGCGGCAGCGTGGACATGAGGCTGTTTGAACTCTCTATTTGCCGCATTTACAATATTAATAACTGCATTTCTACAAGTTGTCATATCGAGTAAAAGATCTTCATTCCGGGCTGTCTTTGGGGGCCGAGCTGAGGCTGGATGCATGCATTTAATAAATTGTAGTCTCAAGTAGTCATTTTTGTAAATAATTAGTTTCAGTGAAAGAATAAGTTAGCATATTGTATGCATCTAATGTTGCAAATGTACATACAGCAAACTTTGCTATTAATCAACAGTCAGGCACCGCAAGTGGGGTCTCATACATAATGAATTGTGCTTAAGCCTCATGGGTTTCTTGATAGAAAAATAAAAGAAAACACAAGTGTGGTAAGCTTTTGAATAAAATTTAACTAGATTGCCCTGCATCCTGTAATTGTTTTGCAGTCATTAGGGACTTGATAATTCATCTATAGTTTTGGGGTGTTTTTATCTTCATCTGCCAAACAGTGGAGATTTTTAATGATATGCTAAAGTGTTGCTAAAATACAGTTTTTCTTTTCATAATTTGAACACTTACGGGAGAAAGTAAATAGGCTTTTTTTTTTTTTTAAGGCATTCTGGTCTGCCAAGTATATTGTTTAAACTGTCTTCTAAAAATGCTTTATTATTGCTGGAGTATTTTTAAGAATTAATTGTTTTTAAAAAGAAAAGAGATATATAGTTCTTATCACAGGTACTTTCTATGGGGAGAAATTGGAAATTTACATTAAAATGGACCCTGTGTTTTCGATGGGTGTTTTAAAATACCGCCTTAAATTCCTCCGTGGGCTTGTTGAGGTTCTGACATTAGTTTGCAGCCCAAAGAGGAAGGTCTTAGGGTGTACATCAAAAACTGACTCCCAATGTGAGCAGCGAACCTACAACCACCCAGAAAGGGGTAGTGGGGGCCCAGCTTGAGTTTAAACCATCTCCTGTCATGGACGTTGGCGCCTGGACCATCGGTGGCCGTGGTGCCCCTGGTGGGGGCGCTGCCTGGCTCCCCGGGGAGACGTGGACTTGGACGTGGAGGTTAAGCGAGCGTGGGCCTCAGGGCCCCTCGGGTCTGGGATTTCAGGGCTGTGGGGTCGGGAGCCGAAGGGCCTCCTCTGTGATCGGAGCGGTCGTCAGCCACTCCCGGGACCGTCACACCACGGCCCGCTCAGGGACAAGCCGGGCGAGGCTGGAGGAGAGGGCAGGGCCGAGAATAAATTTCATTTTACTGTAGAAATGGAAATTTGTGTCATGGCTCTAAAAATCCGGTTTTATGTGTGTGTTTAATGTCATTCGTTTTAAATGTAGTACCATAAATCCTGGCTCCGGAATCAAAGCTGCTTAATTACATTTCACCCATGAATAGTAATCTAATGCCGATGGAGAAAGAGTTAAAAAGGAGAGCCGCCGAGTGAAGCCGGGGTTGAGGTCTTTAGCACAAGCATAAAAAATCAATTTCAGATGAATTTCACTATAAAAATTCTCCCCATGTCCTTTTAGGGTGGGAAACGCCAGGAAACCCAGCTCGCATGTCAGTTCCCTGAGCGGGAGCGGGCGCGGCCACCGGGGTGGGCATTGCTGTGGGGTGCCCGAGCGTACCCCCCAACGTGCCCTGTGTCATGGGGGTGTGAGTCCAGAGACCTGAGTCTGGACACAGAGGAGGAGGCCGGTGGGCACGGAACCCCACCTCTCGGAGGAAGACGCCCGTCTCCCGTAACTCCCGCCCCCTCGCCGAGGAACCCTCAGTCTGTGCCCCCGAACGAGCACGCGGCGACCGAAACACGGAGCGTGCCGTCCGGCTGGTGGCAGGCGGCGGGCGGGCGGGGAGCACCGTCCCTGCTTCCACAGCGTTTCTGGAGAAGGCTTTGGGCAGCGCGCACTGGCGACCTGACAGATGACACAGAGGCAAACACACCCGTCCGTCCGAGAGGGCCTGGCAGCCCGGCCCTTGAGACGCTTCTGTGCTGTCGCCATGGCTCTGTCACAGCTCGCTCCTGGCTCGGCACGGGTGCTCAGAGCCCCAAACAGAAGTGTCGAGTCCTGGGACCCCCCTCCTTCCTAGGAGCCACCCCTTGTTTTCAAAGATGCCGTGTCTCTTAAAGCAGAAGGTAGACACGTGGGTGAGAAAGCTCCCGGGTCTCGGCCTGTGCTGCCCTCGCCTGTGGCACCGCTGGTGGAGACGTGGGTGCTCCTGGCGTGGCTAGCCTAGACCCGCTTCCGGGCGGCAGTGTTTCCTGCTTGCTCCTCGGCAGGGTGGAGGAGGGCTGGAGCATGATTAACCTCCTGCTATCACTTTTGCAGCCCCCCCGAGGCCCCCGCCCGTCCTGAGCCGCCCGGCCGGCCCGCGGAGACGGTGAAGCCCCTGACGGAGTGCGCGGCCTGGCTGCACGCCTACTTCCAGGAGCCCGCGGCCCTCCGGGAGCTGCCCCTGCCTGCGCTGCACCACCCCGTCTTCCTGCAAGGTCAGTGCCCTGCCGCCACGGTGCTGCCGTCGTGGGGCGGCCACCTTAGCCGTCACTCCGTCACAGCTCGTGTCACGGACCGGACCAGCTCCATGCGCGTCGGCCCTCTGCCCGGGCGGCACGCGGCCCGCTGGTGGGACAGAGCGCACGGGCCCCGCGGCTCCCGGCGGCTCTGTTGGTCTTGGCACGTGGTCCCGTCGTTCTTGGCACGGGCAGCGAGCATGATGCATGCCGGCCGACTCGGGGCTCTCGCGGGCGGAAAGGCTTAAGCAGGAATCCATCTGAGCGGCAGTAAACTTCTCAATGAGCTCATTGTGAACTTGAACTGTCTTCCGGCCAACAGCACAGGAAACGGGGCTCGGAGGTGGACACACGGCCACTGCCGTGGAGCCAGTGGCTGACACTCACCTCAGCGCAGGTAGCGGCGGAGTCTGGCCGGGTGAGTTCTCACCTTCACGTCTCGAACTCGCCGTGGTTAGACGTCACACTTTTAAGGCGCCGAGAACGCGTCCCCTCGGCGGAGTGCGCCGGAGGCACAGCAGCCGGCGGTAATCCCACTGCGCTTTCCCGCTGCCTCTGTGAGCTCCTGTTTGGAGTCTTCCTGCGGCAGCTAAGGCCTTCTGGACACAGATGCTCACAGGTGTATTTTGCATGGAGACTTCTGTAGTCGTTTGGATATAATGAGCATTTACACAGATGTGTATGTGCGGAGGCATGCACCCGTGTGCTTAGGGAATCACCCTGAGGTCTCGGGTAGGATACATTTAGAGCAGTCTTGAACCTGAAAATGGAATGTACCATGCAAGTGTAATGGCGTTCTAGTTGCTACTGTGATTTTCAGCAAAAGCGAACTTGAAAACGGAGCCGTGTTTATAGGGAGGCGGGTAGCGAAACCCCCGGCAGGCTGAGCTGGCGCGCGAGTTGACTGACAGTCCCCAGAGAAGACCTTGAACGTCCTTGCCCACAATGAGCTGGGCTGGGAAGTTCCGAGAACAGGTGCCTGGCAGCCCAGGTCCTCTAGACCCGTGGTTGCCAAACTGCGGCTCATGAGCCACATATGCTTCTTTGGCCCCTTGAGGGTGGCTCTTCCACAAAATACCACGGCCTGGGCTTGTCTATGTTGAAGAAGTGGCGTTAGAAGAAGTTTAAGTATAAAAAACGTGGCTCTCCAAAGCAGTGTCCATCGTTGTGCTGTTGATATTCGGCTAGGCGGATTAATGACTTTGCCGACCAAGGCCCTAGACCAGTGGTTCTCAACGTTTCTATTGGCGAGACGCACAGGTTGAGAACCGCTAGCGGGGTCGCCTAACACCATCAGAAAGCACTTAGGTACTTACATTACGATTCATTAACAGTAGCAAGGAAAATAATGTTATGGCTGGGGGTCACCGCAGCAAGAGGAGCTGGATTAAAGGGCCGTGGCATTAGGAAGCGAGAACCGCTGATCTGATGTGGCCTTAGCAGCGGAGGCAGAAGCAGGAGCAGCTGGGGTCACGGGTGGTGCCTGGCCCAGCGTGCGGTCTCACCGTGACGTCCAGGAGCGCAGCCCGCAGCCCGGCAGGCCGGCTTCCCGTTTGGAACGTGCGCAGAAGCTTCTTTTTGTTCGGAGCCCCCTGCCCACGAGACCCTCCGGCTCCCAGCCTGCCGGGGCCAGGAAGACGGGCAGCAGGCTGCTACCCCAGCCTTCCTGCTCCCCTGCCAGCCCAGGCGGGTGCCCCCCTTCGAGGGCCCGGCCCTGTGCCGGGGACACCCCTCCCGGCGGCCCCAAGGGATGCTGGGCCCTCGAGCGGCCCTCCCAGTGCCATCTTGCACACGATGGTTTTCAACAGATGAGGTCTCAAGTTTTCTTTTCCAAGTGACGGCAATGTTCCCTCTTAACTGAAATACCTAACACTTTAATAATTCCTTCGTCACAGCTATTAGCCTGTAGCTATGAAATCGGTGGCATGACAGTAGTAAAACCTGCATTTTTTAAACCTGCCGGGGACAGCCTCCAGCACGGAGCCTCGGAAGGCTTCTCAGGTTCCCGGGGCTCCGAGAACCCCTTTCCCAAAGGCCTCTCCCCAAATTCCCGCCAGAGACCTCAGGAGAGGCCCCGTCAGGGCGCTCAGCTACCCTCCCGCTGTCCTGGGGGGCCCCAGAGCCCAGGGCCTTCCAGGGGAGGCTGTAGGGCCTGGGAGCTGGGGACTGTTCCAGGAAGGGAGCCGCCTTACCTCCATCCTCACCAAGAGAGCCTTCACCCAGAAGCCCAGCCCGGGTGCCCGGCAGGGCAGCCCTCCAGCCCTGGCACCCTCAGCCGGCGGCAGCCCCTCTGCCTGGCTGTCCCTCACGTATGGAAATGCCACCAGCACAGTAATTGCACAGCAAGCCATGAAGGTTCCTGTTGAAAATAAAAGCCAGCCTGCTCACATTATGCGTTTACCACAGTCATCTGCCGCGCCTGCCTCCCGAGCTGGGTTATTCCACCTCCAGGGAGCTGGGGCCGTTTCTGCCCGGCAGGAAATGGAATTCGCATTGTCACTTCAACCATTTTTCACTGGAAGTGGGCTTTGGAAAATGGGTATTTTCTATCAGGTCTGTATTTTAAAGTAAAAACAGACTTTTTCACTTAAATATGCTTTAAAAATTTTTTATTCCCACCGTAGTCATTAGACGGACCTGCACTGCTTGCTTCCGAAGCAAATGTTTGATATTTTTGTTGTCATGGAGTGCCGTATACTCACCGCTCACGGGCACTGTTGTTCATGTGTTTTGCTATCATTCTGGCAATAGCAAATAGAATTCTCTCTGTGACCTAGGTTTATAGAGAAAATATTGTAGTGAAAATTTCATGGAATTACACTCCAAGTTACCTAGATGTGAAATGTGTGGATATTTCTATAAAATTCATGGCAATAAAGCTGTGGAACTCTTTGTAGGAGCCAAAAGCGTAAAAACGATTACTTAATGTAAATGCCATATCACACGATTCTTACCCTTATGTTCAAAGGGACTCAGAATGTGAGACTCACAAGCACATGCCCCATCAAAGGTCACGTGTCACATGCCGGGAGGAGAGGTCGGGCTCTCACCTGGAGGAGGGGGAGGCTGAGGCGTGGGTGCAGCTGGGGCACCGGGCGGTGTCTCCGTGCCAACAACACTCTCCTAGACCAGCCCAGGGAAGCGTGAAGGAGGGGAAAAGGGAGTCTGTGTAAGCCCTCCACACATCCCTCTGCCACTTACGTGTGGATCTGCTTTTGTGCTGCCTCCCGAATGCCAGAGCAGGTCCTGAGCGTGTTTTGGGAAATGGTGTCCCTGCTGAGCGCTGCCCCTCGGCAAGCATGACTCTACCCAGCATCTCCGTTCCTACGACAACTACTTTCTCTTTCTTTTCTCGAGCACGGCCGTTCCTTGGGACACAGAATGCATCCTATGTGCAGAGGAGGCCCGCTCCCGGCCTGGGTGGGCTCGCCTTGTCTGCTTCCTTAAAAGACGCACATCCCTGCCCGGCTGGGCTGCGCCCGTGCCCGCGCCCGTGCCCGCAGCCAGCACAGTTCTCAGCCGGCGAGGGAGCTTGGCCGAGACACACACTCCTCATAGGGAATTTGCATCCCTCTCTCCTAGAATAAGATATGCAAGAACCAACATAAATGGAGCAGCCGCCCCGCTTTCTTCCCGAGGACGGGCCTTTGATGTTCAAGAGGAGCCCCTATTAAAGCGGCCTCGCAGGCTGCAGGCCGGCCTGTTTGTGGCAGACGTAAAGCGGCACACATCTAGCTGGGTGCGATGGCGCCATTAGTTTGTGAGTCGCATCCTTGAAAATAACTGCGGAGGAGCCAAATCAGTTTAAAAGAAGATAACAAAATGGTTTAAGCTACTTAGGTTGAATGCCAATTATATTTTAATATTCAGCCGAGCATATTTTACTCAGAAAAAAGGCCACATTGACGCATGCATAACTCACGGCGCGTCGGCCAGCTGTGCTGCTCTCCTCCCCGAGTCACTTTGTGCATCTGAGCAGCATGGTAATTTAGTGGAGAACTACCTGAGTGATGGCATTTTCAATGAGCAGGTAATCTACAGAGAATTTTTATATGGTTATGAGTTCTGTGCTTCAGCCCGGCAACACAAAAATACATCAAGACCAATTACGGTATCAACTTTCAGTGTGGTACCCTCGCCACGCAAGTGCATGTATTTCTGCCCCAGGCATTTCAAATTGCATCTAATTTGAAATCTTTGGGGTTTTAATTAAATTTCAGAATATATGGAATTCTTCATTAGTACCTGCTCTGAATAGCAGATGATCCCTCTCTCCGTCTCTCGTTAAAGAAGTAGGCTGTGGTTAGTCGCTTGTTCAGAGGCTGTTCGTTTGTGGGGTCTGGGTATTGGAACAGAAATAGTGAAATGCAAAATAATATCAAAAAGATTATTAGTCCGGGGAGAGTCTCTTGATTTGTATTTTAATGGAATTTTACATTTCTCTTAATGATTTGCAAATTGTCCTCTGATTATAAGATGCATTAAGCTTTTCATTTTAATGGCAAAGACACAGCCATTAGCAGAATCTTTTTTTTCCCCCCTCTGTCTTCTTTTCAGAGTGCTTCCCTGCAGCAGATAAATATTGAAACCATTAACACCTTTTGATGTCCGTCACAGCCTGCATCCTGGCGCCACGTGCTGTCCGCCGTCCGCCGTGGTTTCGCCGTGTTGGCACCTGGCTGGGGGGGTGGGTCCCTGGCTCTCTTCTTCCCTGGCCGTGTATTGTTTTCTAGAAGATAGGATTCATTTTTTTTAATGTGTGTGTGTGTGTGTGTGTGTGTGTGTGTTTTATTACTGATTTGAGAGAGAGAGAGAGAGAGAGAGAGAGAGAGGAAAGGAGAGGGAGAGAGAGAAACAGCTAATGGCTGCCTCATTTACATATCCCAACCTGGGATCGAGCCGGCAACCTAGGCATGTGCCCTGACTGGTCATCGAACTGGCAGTCCTTCAGGGCACGGGACCACGTCCAGATGACTGAG